AGATTTGAAAGTATCTTGTCTCCTTATTGGTCCTTGGGTCAGGTGTCAGCCAGGTTACCCGAGCTTCTTAACCCTTTACAGGTAAAAGGATTTGGAGTCTCTGTACACAGAGAGCTGTTACCCTTCCCTTCATAGTTATGACATGGGTATATACGGTTTCTTCTTACAGAGCTTTAAGGGTCAATGGCTGAGTCTGAAAATTGATTTTGTGGTTAACACACTGATGCAGCCAACAGGCAGAGAAGCTTGAGAGCAACTTCTTTGAACTGCCAAGACCAAGCAGCAGTGTGACGCTAAACATATGGCCTGTTCTTTTCTTTCCAGACTCTTGCTTTCTCTGTTTTTAAGTCCACCAAGGAGAGAAGCAAGCCACGCTCTCACTGGAGTCTATAAGGTCACTTCAGCATTCACAGGTCAGGCTGCTGCTCACCTCCTACCCACTAGAAAAGTATCAGTGAAAGAAGATGCCAGGCGACAAGGGAGGGTAAAGCAGCACACAGGTTGTAAAATGAAAAAAGTCATGTGTGCATTGGCTCACGCTGTGGAAGTTGTACTATTAGAAAAACAAAACACCACCATGAGATACTTGTGAGAATTTTGTTAAGTGAAATGAAAGTTTCAATGATTCACAGAATAAGAAAATACCCCTCCCCAAACATAACTTACTATATTAAAAATACCAGGAATTAAGTAGACTAAATACAAGAAAGAGATGTGCACCCTTTTGCCCAGGAGACAACATGGACAGCTAATACTGGAGTTGCTTTGCGAGCCAGATTTAATGCATCCAACCACTTTTTCAACAATTGATTCTTCATGGAAATTGGCAACAGAAATTGTGGCTTGGTTGCCACTTAAGAAATCTTTAAGTAAGTTTTAAGTATCAAGAGATGGCGAACAACGAGTTCCTTATTCAAAAGCTGCCCCCATCTCTTGGCCGAGAGGTGGGGGCAGCTTTTTAATAAGGAACTCATTGTTCACCATCTCTTGATAATAAATCTTTAAGTAAGTTTTACTGTACCCAAGTGAATTGGTGAGAACAGAATAGTCAGAACATCTGTGAAGACAAGGTCAGGTAGTTATGAGAATGTAACAAACTTCCTGTAATACGAGCAGCAGATGGTCTTTCCCAAATAATGCAAGACTCACAACTATCCAAGACAATTTAAAGACTTGGAAATTCTTGTACATTGCAAAAAGGCATCATCATTCAGTATCTTCTAAAAAGAGTCCCAATGTATTTAGTAAAAAGCAACAGAGGGTCCTGTGGCACCTTTAAGACTAACAGAAGTATTGGGAGCATAAGCTTTCGTGGGTCAGAACCTCACTTCTTCAGATGCAAGAGTATTTAGTAGCAGTTATTGCTAGTGTTGGCACTCAGTCTCCAACTGGATGGTGTAGGTATCTAACAGAAATACACTGGTGGAAAAGTAGCCAACTCGCCAGTTACTACAAAACATGACACCACACGTTAAAAAAGCAAGTCTTCAGCAAGGTTCATTCTATCTGATGCCTCCATTTAGTGGATGAATGAAGGAAATGTAGCCTTCTGTCACGTACCTCTCATGGATGCCCCACACATCTTGTGTAAGTGGCCAGCTGGTGAGTGTTACTGTTTAAACATATAATAACTACACTCCTATTGTACAAGTGCCAACATTTTTAGTGAGGAGCTTTTCCTGCCCCTGATATGCTAACTGCAGAGCATTATCAGCAGGAGATTTCTGCTAAAGTCAAAGTTCACCTGAACTTGAGAATAGCACAGTATATGATATTCTACAAGAATTTATGGTTGCAGCGCTTGGAATGTCAGTACGCATTCTGCCCAGAGTAAAGGGCAGCATGTGGCCATCTTATGCTCCAACACAAGAGAGCAAAAGGGTAGAGGATGAACCACAACATGGCTCTAATTCAGCAATCACTTCTTTATACTTAATTTAGATGCAAACATGTTAAAGATGCAGACACAAAATGCTGTACCCAACTTCAGGGGAAATGAAAACATTAAAGAAAACTGGAAGCCTCCCTTCAAGATACGGATATGATTTGAGGATATAAGGAATGCTGATTTTTCTTCATATGAATCACATTTGGAGACTGTGCAGGGAATTATCCCAGATGAAATCTCAGAAAGCAGGGTAAATAAGACATACACGGTGCCAGAAAAAAGGTAACTGCTAAAGGGCTTTGTTTCAAAACCGTGCCATATACAGTGAGGCACTTGGCCTATGCTCTGTGAATGCTGCAGTTCCAATTCCTCTCAGTAATAATTTATATCCTGAGACTTTGCATTCCCTTTTTTGGGGGGGTGGGGGGGTGTCATTCAGTAACCGGAGGCTCCTCTGAAAACAGCAAGATCTCAAGAGGCTGTGACAATGCAGAATCTTGCAGATTTGTCTTTGTATTGGCTGGAAGCTGTACAGTATTGTAACTTCTTTTAAAACTAAATATTTGCTCAAGAATCCAAACAAGATTCCAACCGAAATCAGGCATAAGCTTTCCTAAATTAAATTTCCTTTTCTTGATCTCTCCAGAGAAAGTCACCTTCCACAAGATTAGGCCAGTAGCTCTCAAATTGGGCTTCCTGGTGATCTGCCAAAGGAATGAATGTAATAATTGGGGGAATGGGCTGTTGCGAATGGAAGGCAAGTGTTACCAAGGAATCCACAGAATGAAAAAGAGTTGGAGATGCCATGGATTAGGCCAAACCTGGGAGTCCAAAAAGATCACTAAATTATTCTGCCCTACTCTAGAGGGATTTTTGTTAGCTATGTGTAGATTTGGAATTTGAGACGATACTGAGTTTTTAGTCAAAAGACACTGCAAGAAGCTCCAGAGATGGAGATCAGGAGCAGGAACACACATGCCAGATAAAATAAACACTGAACTGTAGCCCAAAACAATCAGATCCTTTTAGAGTTTAAAAGAGATGTCATGCTTTTCCGATCACCCATTAGTTTGCATAATCACTCACGCTACAGATTTCTGTTTATTACTAGGGGCAGCGAGCATCTGCAGTGTCACAACAAAGAATGGTCTCCTCAGGTTTCTGGACTACTCTGCACTCCAGAGCATCAGCTAAGGCGTCAAATACACTCAGTATCTGCATTTCTTTCCATTCAGATGCTATGATTTTGACATAGAAATGTTTAGTAAATGTCACGGAAAAGGAAATCAAGTCACAGAAAGGGCAGTGTTGGAGAGCAAGACCACTGCCCAGAAGCAGCTCCTGTCCCACAGGGCTGGGCCCGGCTCCTGGCTCTGGGTGTAGCAACCAGGCACGTGGGGTCAGAGCCACTCAGGTATAAACGGAGGCGGAAGGGTGGGCAAGGCAAAGCGGAGTGACAGTTGCTGCTCGGTTTGGGGGGCAAATCAAATGCGCTTCCACAGCCAGTCCCAGGAGTTCACAGACTTCACTCATTCCGCTCTCCGTGATAAAGCCGCAGCCTTGCTGGAAACGTGCCATCCCCGCGGTCTCCGGGCGGGAGGCCGATCCCGCCCCGCCCCATTGCCTGCCCAACGCTTCCACGGGCTGCCAGCTGCGGCCGCCCCGCGCCAGGAGCCGGCCCCCCGTTCCCGCGCCCAGCGCCGGGCAGGCGCCGCACGCCGCTTTGCCAGGCCGGCCCGGCTGAGCCCCGCGGCTCGCAGCGCGGGCAGGGAACGGGCCCCCCTTACCTCCGGGAGCGCCGGTCCCGGCCGAGGGGCAGCCGGTCCGAGAGGCGCCCGAGCAGCGCGGCCAGGCCCAGCCTCCCGTGAGGAAGCAGGCCCAAGAGCCGCCGCCACAACACGGGACCGCCGGCCGCCGCCATAGAGACTATGCTACTTCCGCTTCCGGCCGCCGCCATGGAAACCTCGCTACTTCCGCTTCCGGCCGCCACGGGGCGAACCCGCCACCGCCTTCAAAGGCGAAAACTTTATTTGGGGCGCGAGGCACGGACACGCTCCCTCCTGCGCAGCCGGGCCCGGCCCGGACGCCTGGGTTCCGTTCCTAACCTGCCCCCCAGCCTGGGACCCACGGGGGCACGGGCCTGCTGCTGCTGTGGGGCCCAGGGGCCGCCTGCCTCCGCATCAGCCGGGGGTGTCAGGGCGCGGCGGGCTGGGCTGAGCGAGGGGCCCAGGCCACGGCACGTGGGACAGGCCACAGGAAGGCGAGGCCTGGGCAGGCAGCCCCTTCGACCGGCCCGTGGCTCAGCCCTGCAGGGCACCACGAACGCGCCGGTCCTGTGCTGCGCTGGGCCGGGTCCCCCAGCGGGGCCAGAGCCCTGCCCAAGCTCTCCGTGCTGGACCTGGCGGCCTGGCGTCCGTGGTCCCCCCCCGCCAGCTATGAAACAATGACACTTGGCCAGTGGGGGGAGGCCTGTGGGCGTGGACGACGCAACGTCACAGGCAGTGCACCTAAACTATGGAACTCACTGCTGCGGAGAATGATCGGGCACCTTCACTGTGCTCAGAACCTCCTGGGACAATAATAGCGTCACACCCCGTTTGGCAGCAAAATAGCATTCCTTGATCTTCTAGATTGTAAGGTCACTAGGATATGGACTGTCTTGCTACACAGTGCTAAGCACATGGAAGGCACTTTTAATAATAATGCATCATTCACTGCTATCTAGGTACAGGAAAGTTGGTTTGTTTGCCTGGGTAGTGGGTTTACAGCAGGACAACAGTGTCTGTGCTGAAGGGAGGCAGATGTACATACAAAGTATTGAAGTAACCTGACCTTGCAGTTATTACACTGACAAAACTCCCACTGAAATTTGTGGCAGTTTTACCTACATCACAAATGCTGAATTGGACCCAGAAGTATGAAAGGGTTCACCTAGCAGCTGGAGGTGTGAACGTGAATACTGAGCATTACAAGTCAAACAAAAATGTCTTGAAACCCTACTCATCTGTGCTGCATTGTCACTATTGATCTCCAAGGGGCTCAGCGGGGATCCTGAGATCTTTGTCCATCTTCTGAGTGCCACAGCCAGAATGCCTGGCCACTTCAGGGCCATGCCAGCCTCTACATCGTCCCTTTCAATCCTCTCGCCATTTTCCAAATAAACAAGCAGAATGCAATATTGCTTGGGGCAGCATGTCTGAGAACATTCACTGTACTGAAACCAGAGAATGAAAGTATCAGGGGGTAGCCGTGTTAGTCTGTATCTACAAAAACAACAAGGAGCCTGGTGGCACCTTAAAGACTAACAGATTCTGTTAGTCTTTAAGATGCCACCAGACTCCTTGTTGTTTTTTCAGAGAATGAAAATCTGTCCACAGTAAGACACTTTTGTAAGGAACTGCTGGGCTCTTTACCGTGTCCGTGGATACCGTCTGATTCAGAAAAAGCAGGAAATCCTGAGTTAGGGCTGCTGCTGCCAAAGTGTCTGTGATTCACCCCCAAGGCAAAACCAACACAAATAACAGCCGGAAAGACACCCTGCCCAGCGGCTGTTGGCTTTCAGATTTAGGCCCCATCTGGCTTATGCCCATGAGTATTTGACCAAAACCAACTTTTAATTATTTTTTTTTAAATCAAAGCATAGTTTTGCCTTTCCTCATCCCCTACCATTGTCTCTGCCGTATCTGGCAGCTGGACACTAGAATCAACAGTCAGCTGCTGGAGTTCCACCCTCATAGCTAGATTTACTGTGTGTGCACATCCTGCACATTACTGCTGCACAAATTTGGACTGGGGTCCTTCTGGGGGGCCATAATCTGCCACCTTCCCACATAAGACAAAAGGGTACATCTCTTCCTCCCTCCCCCCGGTAAGGCTACTAGGAACTGTGCTATATTAAAGAGTTATATTACTCTTGGAGCCTTATGACTCTCCTGAGCCCTTCAGAAACCAAAGGGACTAGCAGATTCACCCATGCAAGTTCAGAAAAGAGCAAATCCAAAGCAGAGTCTGAGGACCAAAACCAAACCCACTTAAGGATTTAGAGGGGATTTTAGAAAAAACAGACTTATCAACTCAGTGAAAAACTTCTGTGATTCAGCCCCAAAACTTCAAAGACTCTTTCTTTTAAGTGTAGTCTCTTGTCAAGGTCTATGAGGGAGACATACTCAGACTTCTCTTCCCCCAGTCCCATATCAGTCTATGACTACCATATTTGAGGTTGCAGTTTGGGACCCAAGTCTAAGATGGCTGCATGTGGATGATGCTCTTTCATATTTCACAGAGTTCCCCTGAAGTGATCAGAACACTAAGGTGCTCAGATACCACAGTGATGACCATGGACTAAAAACCTTTAGTAGAATACATTTTGCAACAGCTCCTCTAAAGCTGATAAATGTTGTCTTCTGTGATGGGCAAGATAAATGCACTTCCTCCATGCGCTCTGAAACCTGAAATTCTCCATCCCATCAAAGCTTTGTTTTTCCCAAAAGGGTTTTGCCAGGTCACCACTGGAATAGAATATTGCTTGTCCAGAGCCAAGTCCACCATTTAGTCCGCAGAAGAGGCAGCCAGGGGGAGGCATGGTTCAATTTCTGGCTGATGATGCAGAGGACAGATGAAAGTCTGAGACAGTGCCTTGTGGAAGGCAAATGCCAGACCCCAATCTGCCTGGGGGGAGGGAAAGGAGAGTGAGTTCACTGGGGAAAGAGCACAATCAGCTCTTGTGGGTTTTATTTTCCAATTTATATTTTAAATTGTCCAGGATCTTGTCATCTGAGATGCTATTGCCCAACAGCCTCTTACTCAGCAGCTCAGCCACACAGGCGGCAACTCCAAGGAGCTGTAGGAAGCTCATTTTCGATAAATGAACATGTCCTCCCTGCAGCCAGGTTTCTGGAACAGAATCCTCTTAGATGGGGCTTCTTGTTTGTTTTCCTGTCCCTGCGCTTGTAAACTGCAGGCAGATAAATGAAGCTCTCTTGATATCAAGGGAATCTCAGCAGTTTGTGGCATGGCAGGCAGCCAGGGGCTGCTCTGGAGCCTTCTACACAAGTCATCCTTTGGCAGATAGTGCAGGGAAACACATAATTATCTAATCAGGTTACTTCAGAGGGAATTCCCAGCGTTCAGGGCTTCAGAAGCTGTCAGGGCAGAGCAGAATTTACAGCACATGAGTGTTATCGGGACTATCCTGAAAAGCCTAGTTTCCCTAAGGTCTGACCTGCATCCCCTGCACCAAATCCCTGTCCTGGACCTCAACACACACCTGTCAATGTACCTCCATCCCCTGCTATTCCAACCCTAGTTCTCCCTCACGCATGCACAGCCCTGCCAGTGCCCCTCAGGCCTGACAAGCAGCATTCCCTGTTTCCAGTCCCAGGCCACACCCAGCAATGCTGATGGAGGGTGGGGAGTGCTGCTAGCCTGCATTCTGGGGGAGGTGCAGCCCTGATTGTCAAACACTCCCTGCATGTGTCAGATGCAGTCAGAGGTCAGTCTGCAAGGAGCTTTGGGCCTCTGCCCATGCCTTTGATCAAGGTCTTGAAGAAACTAGTCAAAACGCAAACAATTGTATTGGCACAAAGGGGGAAGGGCTCATTGTCTGTGGCAGGCAGGAGGCAGCTGGGCTTGGAGCCTTTCCCTGACCCATATATTTATGTAGGACTTTAAAAATTGTGCTTTGAATCTTCAGCCTTCCCCCTGATCCCCAGGCCACCTCACCCAAAGGAAGGGGATTGTTGAGGCAGGTTCATTTCTTTAGCATAAATGACATTTCCTAGCTCCTAGGTTTCTTGAAGCTGCTATTTACATTGATAGAAGCGAAGCTGCCTGTCTGAGGGGTAGGGTAAATTGGGGGCTAAAACATGGGAGGGGCCACTTGCATCCTCCTCAGGCATCAGGCTGGCATCCCCATTTGGAGAGGGTGGAGAACAGTCCATGAATTCCAAAGAGGAATCCCGGAAGTGGCATCCAGGGCTGGGATGTGCTCAGCATGTGGCAGGGCGCTGGCCATCCACCATGCACACAGAGAAGGCATGCTCCTATCTCAGAGGGTCTCCCCTACCTCTCGGTGATGATGGGGGAACCCCAGCCCTAAGGCTGGTTTCAGGAGAGAGCAAAAGGGGCTATTGAAGGTACATTGGTCCTCAGTTCCACCCGGCTGCAGAGTCAGACCTAGCATTCAGTCAATGGGACTGGGCTTCTTTTCCGCAGCAGCCCCTCCCCACATCCTCCCCACTGTGGAGTGGAGCCCGGCACTGCCAGCAGGGGCTCTCTGCCACCCAGGGCCTTCTCGCTCCTCCTTCCCTTGGATTTCACCACTCCTGCTTTAGGCAGAGTTCCAGGACTCGTTTGCATTTCAGACCAGCTGGTTCACCACAGCCTCACTTCCCAGAACTACTCCTTTTGTGTTTATTCCTGACTGGCAGCAGCTCCAGGGCAAATGAAACTATTTAAAACAGAATCCACTGACAGTGTGTGTTTTGTTTGTATGGTCAAAGTTGACAATTGCCAAAATTAAAGTTTTAGAACCAGCTGAGAAGCCAGCTTAGCTATCCTCATCTGCCTGCCTGCAACTCCTCCAAGAGACGAGGTGGGGGAAGCCAGGTCTTCTATTGGCCCAGCTGCTGTTGGTGAGAGAGACCAGCTTTCTCTCCCAGCAGGAATTGGTGGTCCGATGAAAGATGTGACCTCACCCACCTTGTCTCTCTAATACCCTGAGACTGACACAGCAACTACACTGTAAATCCTCAAGCAAATGGGGAACATTGGTGGACCTCCTGGCCCTTCCCCCTCTGACAGCATCTGGCCAGCTTGACCTGCCAGCAAAGTGTATTTGAATTCTTTGAAAGAATCGTTGGCCCCTGCCTCTGGTCTGGTCCCTTCTAACTGGGGCTGGAGAACCCTTTGGACCAGATTCTG